TAGACTAAGTTGTGTAGCTCTAGGACAGGGGACATTTTTCTCTTGCACACCTATCAGTGCAGAGTCCTCCCTTCACATGGCCAAACCTTGGTGTGTTCAACCCTGATAAACTCTGCTGACTTTACTTGAAAAACTCCCTAAGATCCCACCCCAACACAAAGATTTATGAGCACCCAACGGGTGGCAACTAAACTTGGTATGCCCTGGGACATTTGCTAAGTTGCCTCAGACCCGGCACTGGCACCAAGTTTGAACCTGCATCAATCTGATGAACACTATTAGCCCTCTACCTCGTGACTCACTGAGAACCTACCTTATGCAACTTAAGCACCACCAGAGGCTCTTTCAGTGACTTAAGACTAAGAGGCAGGTGGAAGTAAATCTTGAGATGTTTTAGCACATTTGCTAACCTAACCCTGGGCCTGGTGCTGGTAAAAGCCAGCCCTGGTGAGTAGCTTGGTCCATCCCATGCACACCCAGGCCCCAGCAAAGGGAGTCACAAACAGTGGATCACTTTGCAGCTCTAAACAGTTTGCCCAGGGCTAGTCACAGGCAGCAACTGGCATTGGGCTGCACCAGAGTCCCTCTCAAGAGGCCCAAGAGGCCAGCTTCAAACAATATCAGAGCAGGATCCAATTAGCTTCACAGGAGTTATATCCAAAGGGAGATCTCAGCAGGCACCAGACACAGCTAAGGTGAATTCCACTCTGTGTGGATCAGCACCTGCACAGCAGCTCGTACACCGTGATCAGGGATGATCCTCACAGTCAGCCAGCCTGAGGGTTGACCCCATGTATGGAATGGACCAATAGCAACCAAGACTCAAATACAACAGCAGGGCCCACATAATGCACATTCCTAGAGCACCCAGCTCAGGTGATCAAGGAGAATGTACCACTGGACTCCCCAGGACAGCTACTACATAAGGCTACCCTACCAAGACTGAGAATCATAACAGATCTACCTAATACATAGAAACAAACACAAAGAGGCAGCCAAAATGGGAGACAAAGAAACATGCTTCAAATGAAAAAATAAGAGAGCGCTCCAGAAATAGAGCTAAGTAAAGGAAGCAAGGAATTTATCATCTCTATATAGTTCAAAAAAATTATAAAGATTCTCAAGAAACTTAGAACTACAAGGAACTTAGTGAGAACTGTAAGAGCATTAAAAAGACATAGAAACCATAAAAAAAGAACCAGTCAGAAATGAAGAATCTAGCCCTGGCTGGTGTGGCTCAGTGGATTGAGTGTTGGCCTATGAACCAAAGGGTTGCTGGTTTGATTCACATTCAGAGTATATGCCTGGGTTGAAGACAGGTCCCCAGTTGGGGGCATGCAAAAGGCAATCACACACTGATGTTTCTCTCCCTTTCTTTTCCCTCCCTTCCCCATTCTCTAAAATTAAAAAATTAAAAATGAAATGAAGAATACAATACCTGCAACAAGGAATACACTAGAAGGAACAAAGAGGGGGCTGGAAGAAGTAGAGGATCAAATTAACAATTTGAAAGACAAGGTATCAGAAAACACACAATAAGAGCAGAAAAAAACAAAAGAATTTTTAAAAATGGAGATAGTTTAAAGGACCTTTGGGACAACATGAAATATAACAATATCTGTATCACAGGGGTACCAGAAGGAGAAGAGGAAGAGCAAGAGATCAAGACTCTATTTGAAAAAATAATGACTGAAAACTTTCCTAAACTAGTAAAAAAAAAAAGACACAGAAGTCCAGGAAGCACCAAGAGTCCCAAACAAGATGGATCCAAAGATCCATCCAGCAAGGCACATCATAATTAAAATAGCAAGTGTTAAAGACAAAGAGAGAATCTTAAAAGCTGCAAGACAGTTCATTATCTACAAGACAACTCCCATAAGGCAGGCAGCTGATTTCTCAACAAAAACATTTCAGGCCAGAAAAAACTGGCATGAAGCAATATTCAAGATGATGAAAAACAAGGACCTACAACCAAAACACCTTCAACAGCAAGGCATCCAAACTGGAAAGAAAAAGTATTTGCAGATGATATGATCCTGTATATAGAGAACCCTAAAGATTCCATTAAAGAAAAAAAACACCACCAGAACTGATAAATGAATTCAGTAAAGTAGCAGGATACATAATAAATATCCAGAAATCAGCTGCATTTTTATACACCAATAAAAAAAAACAGAGAAAGGGAAATTAAGAAAACACATTTACAATTGCATTAAAAAAAAATCTATCAATAAATTTAACAAAGGATGTAGAAGACCTGTACTCAAAAAATTGCAAGACACTGAAGAAAGAAACTGAAGAAGACAGAAATAAGTGGAAGCATATACCGTATTCATGGATAGGAAGAATTATCATCATTAAAATGTCCATACTACACAAAACAATCTATAGATTCAGTGCAATCCTTATCAAGATACCAACAGCATATTTTGCAGAACTAGAACAAACATTCCAAAAATTTGTATGGAACCACGAAAGAACCAGAATAGCAACAGCAATCTTGGGAAAGAAGAACAAAGTTGGAGGAATCCTGCTACCTGATATCAAACTATACTATAAGACCACAGTAGTCAATACAGCCTGGTACTGGCATAAAAACAGACACATAGATCAATGGATCAGAATAGAGACCCAGAAACAAACCCACCCCTTTACAGTCAATTAATATTTGACAAAGGAGGAAGAAACACACAATGGGGTAAAGATAGTATATTTAATGAGTGGTGTTGGGAAAATTGGTCAGATATGTGTAAAAGAATGAAATCAGACCACCTTCTTACACCATACACAGAAATAAACTCAAAAAGGATTAAAAACTTAAATGTAAGACTCAAGACCATAGAAATACTAGAAGAAAAAACATAGGCAGTAAAATCTCAGGGATTTCTTGTGGCAATATTTTTTCTGGTATATCTCCTTGGGAAAGAGAAACAGAAAATATAAAATAAATGGGAATATATCAAACTAAAAAGGTTTTGCAAAGCAAAGGAAACCATCAGTAAAATGAAAAAACAACCCACTATGGGAGAACATATTTGCCAATGATATGTCTGATAAGGGGTTAATGTACAAAATCTATCAAGAACTTACAAAACTCCACACTAAAACACAATCCAATTAAAACATAGGCAAAGTGTCCTGACCTGGTAGCTCAGTTGGTTAGATCATCGTGATACACCAAGATTTCAGGTTCAATCTCTAGTCAACACACATTCAAGAAACAGTCAATGAATGCATAAAAAAGTGGAACAAATTGATGTGATGTATTGCTCTCTACCCCTTACCCCCTCTAAAATCAACAAATAAAAATTATTTTTAAAAATTGGCAAAGGAGCTGAACGGACACTTCTCTATGTCCAAAGAGGACATACAGATGGACAATAGACATATGAAAAAATGATCTACGCATCACTAATCATCAGAGAGACGAAAATTAAAACCACAATATCACTTCACACCTGTCACAATGACTATCATCAATAAATCAACAAACAACAAGTGCTGGCGAGGATGTGGAGAAAGGGGAACCCTTGGGCATTGTTGGTGGGAATGCAAACTGGTGCAGCCACTGTGGAAAGCAGTGTGAAGTTACCTCAAAAAATTAAAAATGGAACTGCCTTATGACACTGATTCCACTTCTGGGAATATATCTGACCCAAACACTAATTCAAAAGAATATATATATATACCCCTATATTCATTGTACTGTTATTTATAATAGTCATGATTTAGAAACAGCCTAAGTACCCACCAGTAGACAAGTGGATTAAAAAAAACAAACAAACAAGCTGTGGCTCATTTACACAATGGAATACCACTCAGCCATAAAAAAGAAGGAAATTTTACCTTTTGCAAAGCATGAATGGACCTGGAGAGTATTACGATAAATGAAGTAAGCCAGTCAAAGAAAGACAAGTACCATGTTATTTCATTTATACGTGGAATCTAATAAAAAAAAAAACACAACTAACAACAAAATAGAAACAGACTCATAGAGACAGAGAACAGACTGACAGCCATCAGAGGGGGTGGGTTTGGGGAATGGGTGTATAGGGTGAAGGGATTAAGCTAAAAAAAAAAAAAAAACACACACAAAAAACCCTCATAGACACAGACAACAGTATGGTGATTACCAGAGGGAAAGGGAAGTGGAGGGAAGTAAAAGAGGGTAAAAGGAGGGATAAACAGAGATGAAAGGAGACTTGACTTGTGGTGGTGAATGCACAATACAGTATACAGATGACATGTTACAGAACTGTACACCTGAAACCTATAGGATTTTATTAAGCAATGGCACCCTAATTTATTAAATAAATAAATAACTGTAACCTGACTTGCTTATAAGATGATCAAATATATGTTTCTTATATGAGATCTGTCAATGCATGAAGCAGTCAGGGACAAAACTTTGTATCTAAAACAAAAATTTTCATAAACATGCTCAATAAATGTTAACTAAGTAATACTGAATTCTTTGGACTGTAACACGCACAGCCTGTAAGACACACCTAGGTTTTAGAGGAAAACAAGAAAAAAAATTTTGAGCAAAAAACGTGGTAAAATATTTAATAACATAAATAACATAGGCTGCCCCCACAGCAAGCCAGGCAAGCTACACTCAGACTATAAGACGCACCCCCTTCACTCCCAAATGGGGGGGCGGGGCGGGGCGTCTTATAGTCCAAAAAATACATTGTTTTTATGAGTGTGACCTCACATGCTTTCAAGTCCCCAGAAATCATTGCAACACCTGAGACTGCCATGGTGGATGACTCTTCATCTTCTTTTAATGTGTCTAAAGAGTGAATAATAAGTATGAAGAGAGAGCTAAGAAGCTGGAAACAACAGGAGATGGTGACTGGTGCTCCTTCCTGGAGCTGATGAGAATAGCCGGGCTCTCCAGTCCAGTCCACTGTCTCCAGGCCTCGTCCAGGTTATCTTCTTAAAAGGCAGTTTTACAGACAGTATATACCTCTGTTTATCTCACTCTCAAAAGTTACCTTTAATGGTTTCCTCCACAACTTCTACTACACGATCTATCTGTTGAACCTGAAAAGAAAACAAACTGTTAGAGAAGCAATTTACACGGAGGAGGGATATTAATTTGTGATTATCATTCTGTTTGAGTCAGTGTTACACATCTCAGCACACAAATCCAGGTTTTCTTTAGTTAATGCATTTAAAGATATTATTTTAAATGTTTTGTATTAATGTTTTTTGTTACAATAAAGTATGAAATTGCCATTCTCCTGTCTTCTGATGACAGTTTCAAAAACCGTATCATGTTGAACTACACTTCCTGGAGCTGTCAGCAGGGCCCGTCAACATCAACTGAGAATGTCCTGAGACACAAACTGAAGTTTAATTAAAGCAGGTCTCTTCTTACAGAACTTCGAGAAAAATGGCAGAAAATGACAACCTACAGAAAAAGACATACTGATATTAAGGGGATCTACCCCAAATTCCATTCTTTATTATTTTAACACTGAAACCCCTTTTAATGACTTTCTGCCCGGTGCTGGATGCTCTGCTCAGGTCCATGGACTACAAAGTCAAATAACACCGCCTGCAGCCCCGCCACCGGGGGCTAGGAAAGATTTCCCAGGGTGCCCTGAGATCACAAAGGAGAGGCGATAAAACCTGACTGAGTGAGCCAGGAATGCTTCTTGAGGGATAAGCAGGATTAGATCATAAGAAGCCCACTAGGGAGGCCAAGTTAGAGTGGCTGGAGTTTAGAAGGGAAATGAAAAAAAGCAAAGACTGTAGTCCAAGGAGCTAAAGGAACAGAGAAAGTTAAATAACAATGGATCATAAGTTGATATTCAGTTCATCATGTTTTATTACAGAAGAAATACATGTTCAATGACCAAATTCAAACAAGATAGAAATATAAAGCAGAAATAAAGTAAGCCATAACATCCTCCATCCTCCATTTCCACTCCTCAGAAGAAATCACTCTTAACAGTTTGAGGAGTAGATACCGGGGCATTTTCCAGTGCTAAACATTTATACATAGGGTGGGGCAAGGTAGGTTTACAGTTGTGAGTACACAAAGAGATTAATCTTGTATTATTATTTATTAATAATTGCATTATTTCACAAACAAACAACTGTAAACCTACTTTTCCCCACCCTGTACACAGCAGTCTCCATTTATCCCTAAGGTACATGTTCTAAGACCCCCGGTGGATACCTGAAATCACAGGCAGTGACAAATCCTATATATATTATGTTTTTCCTCTACACACATACTTGTACTGAAGTTTAATTTATAGATTAGCCACAGTAAGAGATTAAGAACAATAACCAGTGATAAAATAGGACAATTAAAACCATGTACTGATAATCGAGTTTATGTCTCCCTAACAGCCAATCTGATAAAGAAATGGCTACTAAGTGACCAGGGGTGGGTGGCATACACAGCACAGACACACTGGGTGGACAAAGGGGTGATTCACGTCCCGGAGCCACAGAGCAGGCCAGCGCAGGACAGCATGAGATTTCCTCAAGCTGCTTAGAACAGCACGTAATTAAACCTATGAATTGTTTACTTCTAGAAATTTCCATTTAATATTCCAGCTGTGCTAGGCCACAGGTAACTGAAACTGCAAAAAGTGAAACCATGCATAAGGGGGTCTGACAGCTCTGCAGTTTTTTCCTTTCCCTTTTTTTTGTTCACAAATGATGAAACACACATAGATGATATATAAAATAGGTCTGCCCTTGACTTGTTTTCTATACATCATCAGTACACACAGACCTATTTCATTCATTTACTAGCTACCCAGTACCTCACACACAGATACACCATAATGCATTGATCCATTCCCCTGTTGATGGGATGTATGCTATTTCTAATTTTTATTACATAACAATGCTGCAATGATCTCAACTGAGAACAACAAAAAAAGGCTTTAAAATAACTTTACTAAAAGTGCAATGGCAAATCTCTTTAAAGCATTCCTTTTCCTGGGTAACTGGTGTCTTATATGAAATAAGGAAAGAGTTGTAAGAACACACTTGAATCCAGCTCTGCTTCTGACCACTTAGCCAAGCATGGTGTTAGCAGCAGCAATAACTGGGAGGTAGACAAAAGCAAAGTAAATCTCTGAGAATGAAAAATCTTAGTCCCAAACAAACCTACCTAACTGGAGACATATCTACCTGGAACCACTGGAAGCATCAGGTTTGGATTTATTAAGAAGAGAGTCTATGTGGTTTCCTTAAAAGAATGTGATCAAAATAAGAACAACAAAAAGTTCAAAGAGGAGAAGCAGACAACAGTGTCAGCTGCTACAAAGTAACAGGAACGTAAAGACCAAAACGGGTATGTCTGATTTAACAGCGAAGGGGGTCAGTGAACACAGGGTAAGCTGAGAATTCAGTAGTAATGAATCTTCAATATAAGGAAATGATGGGGTAATCACTTCAATCACTGCGTAAGTTACATAAATGCCGCATCACTACATGTACACCTGAAACTAATGTAATATTGTTAAGTCAACTTTACAAGGTGAGGGTATACAAGGTCAGTTTGGAAAAAGCACAGCCATTGTTAATCTACCAAGAATGGTTTGTGCGACATCAATGTATCCTGGCAGCCAAGGAGAGTGGACTGGAATGCACATGTGTGAACAATGACGACTTCACTGTACCAGTCAGAGGGGGTGGTAGATGCCGTTGAATGAGCATGTGTACAGTGTGGCCACTGCACTCAAAATGACTAAGCAAGTACAGCAATGAATCCGCATCAAATTTTGTGTTGAGCTTGAACATTTCTCTGTGGAAACTACTTGGATGATTCAGAAGGCCACAGCTCTGGGTAACTGGTGAATGGCAGCTTTGACATGACAATGTGGCCACTCACACATTACTTGTGAATTTTTTTGTGAAACCTCAAATCACCCAGGTGACTCAGCCCCACCCCACTACAGCCCAGATTTGATGCCCTGAGACTTTTGGCTTTTCCCAAAAGTAACCACCTTTGAAAGGGAAGAGATTTCAGACCACCAGTGAGATACAGGAAAATATGACAGGGCAGCTGGTGGCAACTGGGAAAACTGTGTAAGGTCCTACTTTGAAGGGGACTGAGGCACCACTGTCTTACGTACAATGTTTCTTGTATCTCATATCTTCAATAAATGTCTCTATTTTCCATAGCACATGGCTGGATACTTTCTAGACATACCTTGTATATCCAAGAGAAATGAAAACATATGTCCACACAAAAAAATTGTCAATGAATGCTCATGGCAGCATTATTCCTAACAGCAAAAAAGGTGTAAACAAGCAAAGTGCAATCAACTGACATAAAAAGTTGGTATATTCATGCAATAAAACACCATTAAGCCATAAAGAGGAAGAAGTATTGATATATGCTAAAACATTATGCTACGTGAAAGAAGCCAGACTAAAAAAGTCAAATGTAAATTATTCCATGTGTATGAAATAGCCAGAATAGGGCAATCTTCCAAAACAGAGTAGATTTCTAATTGCCTGTGGATGGGTGGGGAAAGAAATGGGAGAAACTGCTAGGAAGTAATGGGATTCCTTTTGGAATGACGAAAGGATTCTAAAATGTGGTGATGGTCTTATAACTGAATATACTAAAAGGCACTGAATTACACATTTGAAATGGGAGAACTGTATGGTGTATGAATTATATCTTTAAAAAAAGCTTTTATTACCAAAAAATAATGAGGGTAATCAGTCAAATGTTCTAATGTAAAGGCCATGAAACTGAATGAAAAACTGGGCAAAGCCAAAGACACTGAAAAGACCTGACAGCTGAATCCAACTTTGGATCTATGGTGCTTCTCTTCCCGTAAAGGATGTTAATCTGGACAACTGGCAAGATCAGAACACGGTCTGCATACTGACGTATAATACTGTATCAGTGTCATTTCCTGTTTTTATTATACTACAGATGTAAAAAATATCTCTGTCTTTGAAACACAGGGGTATTTTAGAAGTTAAGGGGCATCATGTTTACATCTTCCTCTCAAAAAGGATCAGAAAAAAATGTGTACATATAAAATGAGAATAATTAGCAAATTCATTAAAATTAGCATTTGGGGAATTTGGGGAATGAGTTCATGGTAATTATTTTGCTTTTCTGTGAATGTGAAATTATGTAAATGAAAATTTTTTAAGTTAAATATATGTGTGTGTTTAAGAAACAGATTTTCTTTCACCCTGATGGTCACATAGAATTTGTATGAATGCATACAGCTCAAAATATAGCCTCTGATTTATAAAAGTGATTGATTATATTTGCCTTTCTGGCAGAAAAATAAATATTGCCTACATGTGATTGTTTAATCACTATGTGGTGTGAGGAAGCTCTAGAACTTTAAAACTAAGGGTCAACCAAATTTGAAGAAAAAAAGTTTTAAAAGTATTTGATTACAAACAAACAGGGGAGAAGTTCATTAATGATTTAATAAAAATACTGTGTCATTTCCATTTTTCCTAAGGAGCATATTGGAGGAAGGGGGTAAGGAAGGGGAGACAGAAAAGAGAAGAGTGGGAGTGAGTTTAATGAAAGACGTTAGAAAGCAAAAAAAAAAAAAGCGTGGAGTGAGAGAAAGGGAGACAAGAAAAAATGATCATGAGTGAAAGAACAAACTCAAGATTCACATATAGTAAAGAAGAATACATTGAATTCATTCTAGGGAGAAAAGTAAAGCTGTTTTTAATTAATACTATAAATTGTAGCCCTGAATACACAAGAGCTTAGTCTCTGGCATATAATTCAAATAAAATAAATAAAACAGTATCTCATGTCCTTCAGGCACTTAGTTATAAATATACAGGGAAAAAGACATTCAGTATGTTCTATTACTGACTCCATATGTTCTCAACAATGAAAAAAGGAGTTGGTTAATAAACAATTCATAAATAACATTAATGAGTAATTCTGCTGCAGAACTTTTAAAATAAATCTATAAAATATTTTATTCGGCTATTTTGAACCACTCCAAATTTATAGGTAAACATTTTAAAGAAACAAACCTATACAAAGGCATCTAAAGCAAATAAAAGTGTTA